CAAAGTTTGAAACAAGACAAAACCCCTATAATAAGAAAAGGGCACTTGGTGTTCTGAAAACTAAGTTTTCTAGCCAAATCCCAAAGATACAAACTAAGCAGAAACCCCAGCGTTCAACAAAGTATTGATCTCTCCTCTTATATTCACAGGTCTTCCGTCAAATATGGAAGAGAGACTTGTCTCGCATAGCTCCTTTAGAGCTCTTGTTTTCACAAGGGCAGCTTCCTGTAAATCAATATACAGACATTTTGTTAGCTAGGCCCTTCTTCTCATAAATCTAGCAAATCTGACACTCTTAGTCTTAATCCAGCCAAAACAGAAGTAAAAACCTATGCTTTTTGAGAACATTCCTATCTGATAGACCACCAGCATGAGATTACCTGTTTTGGCCATATAGAAGAAAGTGAATTCTGAAGTTCCATGCGTCTTCTAGCCACGTCTTTTAAGCTTTCTCTAAACTTCACTTCACGGTGCTTCTTCTCTTCCAGCTCTGAAACGAGCCTATCTAGGAATCTGTACCACAAGTATACTTATATCAGAATATATGGGGTATTCGCGATCCCCTGGCAGAAATTATTTATCTTAAAGCACCTTTTAGAGTTGAGAATCATGATCAGATCCCGAGATTTCTTGCTTGTTAGCAATGCAATGGCCATGGAAATATCAACCACCATTGGCTCAATGGTTTCAGGAGAATACTGCTGAAGAACCAAAGGGACAACTGCTTGCACATGGTGTTGCAAGGACAGAGTATCTTCATTTCTCAGTTCTATCAAACGCTGGTTCAAAAATGCCTTGACCTGAAACAAGAGAAACCAAATTACGTGTCTAGTCACGGTCAAGAAGCATCTCTAGGATTGAATTGAGCATATAAATTAGTCAGGGATAAGAGAGTACCTCATACAAATCATCAAGGATCTTATTCCTATATTCTGTCTCCAATAACTGGCTCCTCTCTCCTCCACTCCCTAAGACTTGAGTTGTGGAATCTGTCAACTGTGTCTGATCCTCCAAGCCTGATTCTAGCAAACCTGAATCTGCTATTTCTTCTACCTGAGGTGTTTCAACACTTACATCCCAAGAAATCTCAGAAACAGCAACCTCATGGCCTTGGCTTTCTTCCACTTTAAATGGAGCATTCTCAGGAATATCACTTGCATTGACAATTTCATACGAACCTAGATCATTTCCACTATCAACCTCTTCTACCATGCTAACATCCCAATCTATCTCAGCAGTATCAAGTGTAATATCCCAATCAATACTGTCTGTAGCCGCATCTGTACCATTTGCATTCTCAGATGACTGAATATTATCGGCATCAAGAGCTTCAGATGCCCCCAATACACTTAATGATGGAGGATGTTCACGAATGTCTTTCAAGTTCTCTAGGACAACCCTTGCAGGCTTTTGCAGACAGATTAGAAGCTGGTCAGTTCAATCTCTAGGACTAAAGAACCAAAAATTTAGAGACAGGGTAAAGTTTAGAGCAGTCTTACATCTTTCTCAGTATGAACCTCTTTAACGTAGGCAGAGTAGTACTCCATTGCCCCTGATACTGAGTCACTGTTGATAACTTCCAAAATCTTGGCAAAGGTACTAGGAAGCGAATTCGCAGTTTCCAAAAGTTCACGCCTCACATTATTTCCCTGGAAAATATCTAAACTTTATGTGATGCTTCTAAAACCTATGGATCAAACCTAGCCAAGTTCACAAGTAAACCTGCAATCCAAGCTCTCGGCAAGCTTCCTCGTATTTGGTTGCTGAGAGTGCAACGCTCCTTTTGATATCGGCTTCTTTACGATCAAGTTCCGTCATTTGTTGCTGAACCTTTTGCACTTGTTTTTTCAGGTATGGGCTTCATGTTTTGCAAAAAGAACAAGAATTGACATTTTGAATTATTATCAAGTAAATAGGTAAAAACTTTCTGCTAAATCAAGAAACCATCTTACATTTCGTAATTGACATTCTGAATTATTATCTGAGCTGCCTCCCCGAGATAAATGTGATCTTTTTCAAACGCACGAACAATTGCTTCCCAAACACCCTAAAATTAAGGGCAAAACAACACATCACAAAATGCACAATGAGGCGATGAACACAAAAAGAGCGCGAGACTGAGAGAGTTTTGCTTACAGAAGCACCCGATAGCCGACCAAAGATATTCCGGCTTTCCGGAGTTGTCTTCAGGAGAATCTCGTATATCTTTTTGACCTCCAAGTAACCAATCACTGGAAGCAAAAATAACGAACCATTAAGCACATTAACCCTTTTAGGCCCTAATCACAATCAGACACAGCCAAACTCCACACAAGCTTGTAGTGTTCCCAAAGATGCAAATCAAATTACTTGGGCAGTTTCAAAGACAAAGACTTAAACTTTAAGCTCAAGTGAGAGCAGTATACCAAAAAGCAAGGGAATTTTGCAGTCTATGCTTTACTAATTTCTGCTTCAAAAAAGGTCGAATTCGTTTAAAAGCTTGGAAATTCGCTAAATTGATAAGACATTATTTAACAAATTTAGGTTTTTTCAGACAAAAAGTTACCTTCAGGATCTAAGGTTTGAAAGTACGGATCGATCTCTTTAGGCAAAGACGAGAACTCTTTCAAGATTTTGACTCTGATCGCAGCCACTTTCTTCCTCCAATCCGCCGGAATTCTCTTCCGATCCACCAACCATTCTTC